CCCCGAGGGCCGGGAAACTAAGACACCACCTCAGGTCTCAATTTCAAGTTCACACTAGTCAAGTTTTAGACCCTTTCTCTCTGGACTTCACTCTTGGTTAAAGTGACTGCTTTCAAGTGAAGCTTCTTCACTTTGAAAAAATACCCCAAACACGTCAGTAATTATTTGTCATATTACATTGAAGATGTTTGTACTTTAGCCTAAATATTTTAACTTTCCAGGAGTTTATACTCTTAAAAGATTATTCACCATCATATTTTGACATATTTTAATAAACAACACTATGATATGCAACAGAATGAAAAAACCCAACTCGTATGCATGATTTCTATCATTCAGATTATGCCGATCAAACATAGAACTCCTCAAAATATGGTTATCAACCTTCTGCATATAAATAGAAAGTAGATCTTTTTGACAAACATTTTTAAAATATGCAAGCAAAGACGTTAGCAAGCTATCACATGAATGCCAGGAGACAGGGAGAAAGAGTAAGAGAGAAAATCCTAGCATAGAAGAAATGAGGACAAAAAATAGTACAAGACAAAATCTAAATGGATGCTAGACAGTGATGAGAGTGAAGTCAATATCAGTGTCCAGGATAAACTTGTTTTTTCTTACTTTAGCAGAAAAGTAGAAGCGAGGAAATGTGAGATTTGATGTATTTTTTATAAAATAATCTGGATATTCTTTTCTCTCTATTCATACTAACCCTGGTCAAGTAACCAAAAGAATATCCAAATATTTAGAAACTGGTTTGCAATACCTAATTTCACCAGAGGATGGTAGAATAAGGTCAAAACATGAAAAAGTGCTAATTTATATTTTTCTCTCAGGAGTTCAGAACAAAGTTAAGTGATACGTGTAATTTGTAGAATTGCAAAACTCTTTTTATTGAAAAATAAAATTTAGGAAGATGATATGGCTGATTAGTGGTCTGGTTGGTTTGCTTGTTAGGCTGATCCATTCAGCGTGGGGAAAGGAGAATGAGGAGATCTCCAGCCTGCGACGTTAAAATATGACCCACAAGTTCCTTATCACAACAAATCAACATGACAAGAACCTAAGCCTGTGAAAGAACCTTGAATTTCTCAGAGAAACGGTTAAAAACAACCTGACTTGATTTGTAAAACTTCAGAAAAGCTGGGGAGAAGGGAATTTATTACCCAACCACAAGCTTCTGTTCAAAAACCTTAAAGAGCTTGGGAGGGGTGAGCGGAGGTCCAGGAGCCCCGGCAGCAAGGAGAGAGGGTCTTCACCTGCGCAGGAACGCTCCCAGTGGGCGCCTGTCCCCCTCATCCTCCCGACCTCCACAGACGGTCGGGAAATGTAGATCTCCCACAGAACTTCATCTGCTGAGCCGGTGCCCATGGCGGCAAGGTCAGACAGGCAGCAGTCCGCATTTCCTTTTCAAATACTTACTGGGGACCTGCTGAAAGCAGACTACCAGATTCTGGGGTTTCAAAGGTAAAGAAGGTCTGGTCCCTGCCTTGAGAACATAGCAATGGAGAGCGTCAAGAGCAACTGTCTGCATCTGTCCTTGCATCCTGTGGGTTCTCTCACTAATGGTCCCACGTTACTGTATCAACAAGTACTCTGACCCTGAGCAACCGGGACTCAGTGTCTAGCTCCTCTCTGGGGCTCTGGGTCCTTCTGTCTCCCTTCTTGTCTGGTCCCTGGATTCCAAACTCCCCACTTTGGCTCATCTCTGAGACTTGACCCACCTTCCCAGCCCAGCCTACCTCTCCTAAACCTCATTACTTGCCCTGTCTTCAGTATTCTCTGTTGACCCCATGGCAACCTAGTTCCCCCTTTGGACCGGAAGATGCCTGCAGGTGAGCCCTCTAAGTCTGGTGTTGATAGAAAAGCACCTCGTGGAAACCTACATAGGCAAGGACGTGACAGTCATTTATCCATAGACACTACAAATATTTGCACCATAATTTCAACTAATATTGTATCCCACTATTTCTCTGAGTCAATACAGACAAAATTTAAGGCATCAGAGCTTGCCCTTTGCATTTTAATCTCCTAGAAGTGATCCAACATAGAGATGAAGGAAGGAGTTCTGAGTTTCTGATTCCAGATCAGCTACTTACCTACTGTGTGACCATGAGTGAGTTACTGCCCATCTCTGAGTCTAAATTTCCTCATCAGTAAAGCCAAATTAGGAATAATACCATCTCTTAAGTTTGTTGTGAGGAGTAAATCAGATAATATATTAGCGGTCCTGGGCGACGTACTCGGCATAGAGTAAGTGTTCAATAAATGGTAGGATCGAATAACACGGCTGCATGTTAAATCATTCAAGAAGTCTGAAAGTATTCACATTATAAATTTTTATTGCTTGTTTTCCATCCTGAAATTTTCAAGTGGCAAATATATAAAATATCTAATTATGAAGAACGAGTTTTCACATCTGATTAGACAATGCCCAGCTCCTCTGGGGTTGCTCATTCAAGCCTTTCGCTTTTCAATGTTTTTCACCTTCTGCCACTTGCATTTTGACTTGGATTTTCTTTTTACTATAGGCTTAAAGCAAATACATAAATTACAAAATTTTAACATAGAAATAGGTGTATGATGAAGAGCAAACTTTTCTCTCCAGCCTCCTTCCTATTTTTTTCCAGAGATAATCACTATTTTTACCAATTCTTATAAATCTTTCAAGCTTCTGAAGATATTCTTTCACACAAATGAGACCACACTATAATACTCTGTGCCTTGCTTTTCCAGTTAACAAACGACGTATCACGTAACACACGGATCTACTGCGTCGTTTTTCGTGGCAGCAGGGTGGCCCTTTCTTAGAAGTGACCTGTTTTGTTGAAGGAGTTCCCCTTGTGATGGGCATCTACTTGCAATTCCTGTTTCTATAAATAACAACATTTCATACACTTTTGCACATACACCTTTGCAACTTTGGCAAGAATATGGGTAGGACAAATTTCTAGAAATTCCACTATTAGGTCAAAGGATGCATTTTTAATTTGAATAGATATTGTTGCCAAACTACTCCCCAGTGACGTGGAACCAGATTGCGCCCATCTCTCTGGACAGCGCATGAGAGGATGTTCCTTCCTACAGCCTTCCACACCACGTGGATTACCCAAGGGTTAAACCGCACTAATCTGAGGGAGTAGAAATACGACCTCTTTGTAGTATTAATTTTCGTTTTTTAAATGAGTGAAATCAAGCATTTTTCATTTACTTACTAGCCATTTGCATTTTTATGAACTACCTGTCAAAATATTTGCCCATTTTTCTATTTTTTTAATTAATTTCTGTCTTTTTTTATAGTAAAGTAATTAAGCCATTATTTGCCATATGTGATGCAGCATTACAGTTGAAAGAGAAAATATCTGTGTCACTAGTTACACACTCATATTCATATATCACATAACTGTTCCATATAGACAGCCTAGTCAAGAAAAATAAAATAGAAAATTAAGGCTGATTTTACAGTTGTAGTAAGTGTCACTCTAGCATTTTATTATTGTAATTAATAAAATAAATTAAGTCATGGTCAGCAATGAATCATTTATTTACTATATTTACCCATTCACGGGAGTGACCCTCCAGATACACTTCACCATAATATTTCAGTCTTTATATCACTTTGCAAAAATTTACTGTACCAGGGATCAGGCCACACGTGCCCGGCCTGTAGAACTGAGTTTTGGAGCTTACTTCTTTTAATACACCACTTATACTTATTACATGGTGGGTATTGGGAATCATCAAGATATTTGATTATATGATTCTGGAAGAAACCAGTGCTAACCAAAAAGAGCTGACAGTAGAGGAGTGAAGCGAGATGATCACACGCTCCTTTGTAGATTCTGGCGGGTGATGAGTGCTAACACTAGAAAAAAATTACCCTTGTCTGATTCTGCAAAATCTCATTGTCCAGTGAATAATGCCCCAGTTAGACTATGAGTTTCTGATGGATAGAAACTGTATCTTAAGATCCTTTTTTTAAATTTTCTTGTAGGAAGATGAGATCTACCCTCTTAACAAATGTTTAAGTGAACAAGACGTTATTGTTGACTACAGGTACAATGTTGTACAGCAGATTGCTAGAGCTTATTCATCTTGCTTGACTGAAACTTCACACCTGTTGATTAGTGACTCCCCGTTTCCCCTCTCCCCAGCCCCTGGCAACCACCTTTCCACTCTGATTCTATGAGGTTGACTTTTTTAGATACCTCATATAGGTGGAATCGTGTAGGGTTTGTCTTTCTCTGACTGGCTTATTTAACTTAGCATAATGTCCTCAAAGTTCATCCACGTTGTTGCATATTAAAGAATTTCCTTCTTTTTAAGGGAAAACAGTATTCCATTATGTGTACAGACCACATCTTTGATCCATTCATCTGGCAATAGACATTTCGGTTGTTTCCACATCTTGGCTTTTGTGAATAGTGCTGCAATAAACATTGGAGTGCTAATAATTTCTTCCAGATCCTGATTTTAATTCTTTTGGATAAATATCCAGAAATGGGATTTCTGGATCATATGGTGGTTCTATTTTTAATTTTTTGAGGAACTTCCATATTGTTTTCCATAATAGTTGCAAAGTTTTGCATCCCCACCAACAGCGTGCAAGGTTGCCACATGCTCATCAACACTTGTTGTGTTTTGTTTTGTTTTTGCTTTTTGATAACAGCCATTCTGACAGGTGTGAGGTGATATACAGTTGTGGCGTCTATTTGCATTTCCCTGATGTTTAGTGACACTGAGCACCTTTTCGTATATCTGTTGGCCATTTGTATTTCTTCTTTGGAGAAATATCTGTTCAATTCCTTAGCCCATTTTTTAAACTGAGCTATTAGTCTTTTACTGTTGAGTTGTAAGAGTTCCTTATATGTTTTGGAGATTAACCTCTTATCAGATATGTGGTTTGCAAATATGTTCTCCCATTCTGTAGTTGCCTTTTCATTTAGTTAATCGTTTCCTTTGCTGTGCAGAAGCTTCAGTTAAAGGTAGTCCCACTGGTTTATCTTTGTGTGCCCTATATTTTACAATTTCCACAAATACTTGCTGTCTAAATATGAAATTAACAGACACTTGTAACTATCTTGAGTGTTACACAGTGGTTATTAACATCACACACTGGTCTCAAACATAATCAGTAATTTCAGGATAAATACAATTATTCCTCATATCTAACTATCTCTGCTATGTCCCTGATTCATCATTCCTTCACACACACATACCTTATTCTTATAATCTCGTATTTTATTTAATGCACTTAATTCTTAAGAGATTTTCTTCATCTTCTACTTCTAACTATGTAAATGTATTCAGTATTTACTATACCATTCATCTTCTACAGCAGTGTATTTTGGGGAAACAAACACAGATATAGGGAAAACAACAGACCAAAAAATGTTACAAGTAAAGGTCAACGTTATCCAACCGTAACCACATGCTCTCACACCCTGGAGCTTTAGGGTGCCTTAATCTAGCTGAAATAGTTCTCATGAGCTAATGCCATTAATGAAGTTGACGGATCTCACTTCAAGTTGGATAAAGTAGTTTTAACGGTCATCTGCTCACAAGAGTGAAGACAGTGGTGACTCTTCTACCCTTAAGCTTCTCTTGCTCCACACACACTTCGATTTGTGATAAGAACGTGACCGAGAAGACTGTGCAGATCCGGGACTCTCAGAGTGGGGAGATGCCCTCCGCATGAGGTTCCGGGAGATGACCCTCTGAAGATTCTTCATGGAAGACGCTGCAGCCATCGTGATCACCCAGGGATGGTCCAGGGCCTGCCCAGCTGACATGCGATGACCAGCCTCCAAAATCAGTAGTTTGTCTATAAAGTCCTTCGCCAAGTGAGAAATACTTGGCCAAGGCTGAGAAGAAAAGTAAAAAAATAACATAGAATAAAATAAATATACACACACACACCCATAGAGAATCACGTTCTTAATTATAAGGATCAATGCATATCAAATCTAAAAGCCTTTTTCAAATAAGAAATTTGAATACTATGTCACTTAATACAAGGTAAACCTAAAAATCCACTTTAGAGAGAGGCAAAAAAAATCTCTATGGCAAAAACGAAATACAGCACAGAAATTCTCTTCCAAACTCTGTCCAGTGAGTGAGCATTCCTTTCAAGAAATCCAGCCAGAGTGCTGCCATTAGCAATGTGAGTTCCCACATCACATTTACACGAGCCGGACAAGGCACAGCGGTTGTCGTTGGTGAACTCACCAATAGCAAGTTAGTATTCATCACATTCTTATCCTCTCATGGAGTCCCTGCAACTCCAGGAATGAGCTAGAGTGGGAAGTGGAACGGATTGAGAAATCATCGACTGTTCTCTCCTTTGAAAGCTTGCTCCGGACGCCGGACGCCTCTATCTCCACAGTCTGGAGAGACAATTGGAAGAACTGTAGGACGCTTCAGCACACGATCCTCCCGCAGTGCGTTTCCTCTCAACACACGGGGCCGTCACTGTTCCCGATCGGCTGACTACAAGTGGGATTCAGCGTGTAGCCGAGACGTGACATAGAGCAGTATGTGCGACTAGCTAGCTGATGCTTTAGGGATCTAGCGCTATTCTAGGAACATTTAAGCTTTTGCGCATGCTTCAAGTACAACAGCAGCAATTCGTAGTGACTTTGGGAGGATGAGACCAAGAGGGCCTTGCTTTATACTCAAACTTGTTTTCTGTATTACCTACCTATGCATAGCACGTACTTAGAAAAAAAAAAATATTTTTTTTATCCCTCGTCATCTACAAAGAAGAAACATCGAGAAAATTGCCCTTGCATTTGCTGTATCTCAAACAGCAATTTCTAGTTGATGTGTGTTTTCAAAATTGTACCTCCCAAGAAAGAGAAGGGAATTCTTACAACCTATTGTCTTTGTCCTTGTATGAGGAAAAATCAGACTCCATCCGTAGACATCACACTCTCTAATCTCTTAGCACTCTATTAACCCAGAATTTGAATGCAAAAAAATCAGGAAAGGAATTTCTCCCTTTTTTTTCACTTCAGTTTAATTAGGTAAATTAGATAGGAGAAGTATTTATCCCAAAAATAAAATGCACAAAGTAAACGCACACATTTGCCAAATACTCACACACAGGGGAAATAAAATGTACACCTGCAACTCTAGACAAAGCGTATCAGTGGCTGGCACTCACGATGGCATGTCCTGTGATCCTGGCTAGACATCTATTTGGCCCCAGATCCAGACACGTTTATCTGGGCTCAGAACTATTTAAGTGAAGGTTAAATTAGATGCTCCAATGGAACATTATAAGACAAGCAATTGAATTTTTCTGGAAATAATATAAAATACGTGCAATGAGACTTACAGAGAGCTCATTGAGGTGACCCCAAATGAATACACATTTAAAATGCAGTAGCAGAAAATAAGGCAACTGGTATCCTGGGGGAAAAATTCTTCAGCCAAAGCTCATTATTCAAACTCAAATTAATTTCATAAAGTATAAAAGAGATTAATATGCATACATGTATATATTCTATAAATGAATAAAAACTGAGTGTGCATGCTCAAAATTTTTTGACTGATAGTGTTATGTGACCAAAAGCAATTTGGAGACCACCTGTTGAATCAAATTTCTACTCTGGACCAGCTGTCACCTGATGACATCACTCAGACCCTCTACCTGATTTCACATCCACTCTATGTTCAATGAAGCTTTCCTCATAATCTCTCCTCTTTGACTTGGCCGTCCTCACTCTTTGCTGTGAAGATTCCCCTGACTGGCCCTTTCTCAGCAGTCCCAGGGAGTCACCGCCCTCAGCCAGCCTGTTAATCCATCTTAATGTGGAAAATCTTGACATTGAAGTAAGTGTGCCTGGACTAGACAGGCTATCCTTGCCACACTCAGCTATGAATCTCAGGGTCTCAGTTTTCATCAGAAAAATGTGGACCATCGCATCTCTTTCAGAAGATTGCTGTTGGGACCAAATTAGACTAAGTATGTGAAAAATGATTTTCAAAGTATGAAATAATATGTAGATTTCTGTTATTCTTGTTCCTGTAACTATTAAATCACAATTTGACTCCCTCCTCAGCTCTTTTGCGGACACGTTTACCAACTGTATTTAGGAAACCGGAACATAAAAATTATCCCAAACTTCTCAGACCAATTTCACTTACTAATATCATGATAAATGAGGGCCCTCAAAAAAAACATTTTGTGTTAAGAGATAGTGAACCATGTAAAAAGAAAGGTAGCACTTTTTTTTTATCCCAAAGTCACTCAATTAATTTAGTCACAAGTAAACTGTAATATCTGTGGACAATTCAGGCTTTTTTTTTTCCCTTTTTTCTTTCTTCCTTTCTTCGTCTGATTCTTTGCATATTTTCCTGTCTTCAGTAAAAATTGGCTAAGCTGTTTAAAACAACAGTCACAAAAAAAAGTATGAAACTGAAATTTAATGCTAGCAATTGCACGATTTATTCACGTTGAAGGAATAGAAGGAATTTAGAGGGATAATATCTTATATTCTACAGATGTCTTGACCCTTTCACTTTAAACCAGGAAGTAAGGAATGATTTTAGTTTATTGCTTTCCAATTTCTTGGCGAACAATTTTCCTCCTGATATGCACCCAAGTGCAGGCCCTTTAAAAGAGTCTGGTTCTCTGGAGCCTACTTGTTCTCCATCAAAGTCCTCCAGCTTCTGCTCAGGCTGGTGCTCCCTGGCCATCCTGTAGTGTCCGTTCACTGGCTCTGTTCTCCACTCCATCCTTTCCTGCCTCTTCCTTGTTCTGGCAACCAGGCCCTACCTCCTTCTCCAATTTTCTGCATCAGCTCCCAGATTGAACTGTCCAGGGTTCTCTTTATCTAGGGGTCACTCACAGCTTTGTATCCTATGGTCTCCTTCACTCTCCTCCTCACTCCGAGCCCCGGGAGTCCCCATGGCAATCCCCAGCACCCCTCCAAGAGACAACAGAGTCCCACATTCAAGATCCACATTCTCCTTCTCTTCTTTCATGGACGTCGATTAATAGAGCCAATGTAATAGCCTCTGCAGAAGACAAATAAATATACAGAAACTGGCTCAGTAACTAGTTTAAAGAATGAATAATATCCCCATGACTAGTCAAAGCTTTCATTTTTCTTGGCTCCTTTGCAGAAATGCCCACGGAGAATCATTAGTAACAATCATGGTTAAAAAGCTGGACACCACAAACACACACACACACACACAACATATACGCAGTCCCTGAAATTCTAGAGGCACAGCTTAAATTTTAAGAATGGTAATTAATGTTGAAATTTGCTAACTATAGAGCTTGCTGAAGTATAGGGTAATTATCAGTGGATTTAATTATAGAGTTTCAGAAAACTACAAATATCTATTTTTTTAAGTAGATGGATCAGCTAGCATTCAAATCCTTGAGCTGAGAGCACTAAAGTAGCATTTATATCCTGAAAAACAGTAATTTTTATTAAAAATTCCTGCTGGTGACAAGCCTCTGACTAGCATTTCCCTTCCTTCTCTGAACTTCAGTGGACGGCCTTGGAAGGACCGTACTTAAGCTTTGCAGTTAAATTTTCCGTGAATGCGCCCAAAAGTACTGACTGACTCTCCATGACTTTACTAGCAGGAGACTGCATAAAATCATTCTCACTCATCTCAAGAAGTAAGAGATTTTGTCCACCATCGTTATGTCATAGATATTTAAAATGTTTTCTTCCCAATGTGCAAAGCAGACTTTAAATTGTATTTTATCTTTGCCAAAGCACACTGTTCAAAGACGAAGCTTCGACTGATTATGTCAGAATGCTTCATCTTCTGGGGCCTTTGTAAACCTGGAAAAAGGGAACAGATACTCACAAACTTATTGTAGGTGACATCTAATAAAAAGTGAAGAAAGACCAAATTAATTCTACCCCAGGGTCATAAAGGGGACATTTTTGTGAATTAGGAGGTTCTTGACATGAGGCAAGCCTCTCTCCCCGTCCTTCACGCATAAGGAAAACTCTGAGATTTAAAGAGGATTGGAGAGAGCTTAATTTTTTGAGCACCTACCATGTTTCAAAGCACTAAAAGTTAAAAAGAGAAGTGTTCCATTTTCCTCAAAAAAAGAGGAACGTAAGAAGAGAAATGAAAAATTGAATTAGCCTTTGAAACTGAATCAGTGGTTGACCCATCCTTCTATGTATAATCTACATTTAGAACTAGTTCCTATATTATAAACCTCATAAACCATAGCGTAAACAATACAAGCATGATATTAAACCCAGACATTTCTCGGTTTGTAAAAACTTTATTCAAACAGTTCTTTTCTCCTCAACTCCATGCATCCTGTTGATGATGTCAAGGTCAACATGTGCAGCATAATCAAGGATGCAGACAGTTACTTTCCACGCTAATCACTTCCCTTACGTAAGGTCAACATCTACACGCTCAAAATGAAATGCTCCACTGTTTTAATTCCTAGAAACGCTGCTTGAGACTGAGTTTAAGAGAAGAAGATATATATTGGTCCAATTTAAGGTAAATTAGAGAAGAGATGAAGAAAGGGATAAGCAGAAAATGAAGTATGTTTTGAAAGATTTTGTAACCATTAAAATTATTTTCCATTAAACAACTTTTAAAGAAAAAATGTCATTAAAGAATATTGAGCACCATGTTTTCTGTGAGCATAAGAATCTTAGAATTAAACCACAGGAATGAGAACCAAATTACCAGAATTATGGCCTAAGTGAAATATGATGCAATGTTCATTATTGGAATTCTAGTCATGATGGAAAGAGAATGAAGGGGATTAAAGAACTAATCCTCTGCTCTCCTCTCCTTTTTTCCTACTTCATGACTTGAAAAGAGAAGATATAGTAAAGGAAAAATAAGACAAATTAGT